GGGGGCACGCTCCTGGCTGCTGCCCTGCCTGCGGGGGTGCTGCCCCCCGGCTCTGTGGGGCTTTGGGAGGGCATCACCCTGTCTGTCCCCCCCCCTGCCCCAGCAGGAGCTGCCTGTCCCCTCCCGCCTGCCCCACACGCCGTAACCCATGTGCGCTCCCGAGGCCCCTTAGACTTTGTCCCGTGAGAAACGTGGCCGTTGCAGAGGGATCCTGCCCCGACCTGGGCAGAAAAGCCAAAAGAGTGAAGTTTTGCGCTGGAAGTGCCCCTGACTCTCATCCCAAACCCTTTCTTTTTCATCTGGCCGGTTCTGACTGGTTCCAGGCCGGGGCTGGTGGCAGTGTCCTGCCCTCGGGAAGCCTGACCTGCTCCCAGTTGGCAGAGGGTTTCCTCCCAGTCCTGGGGCACCTTGGGGACGTGCTGGGGCTGCTCCAGCAAACCGGGGTGCTGGCTTTGTGGGGTGCAGCAGGATGGTGTGTCCCCAGCGCCTTGCTGGATTTCACTTCCATTTTCCTGGTTTTTCAGCAATTTTGGTGGCGGATTATTTTTTTTAATTTTTGGATCTGCACTAGGTGCCTGGGTGGGAGACGGGCAGTGCCTGCTTGTCCCTGGGGAGCCTCCCCTCGCTTGCACCCCTCTCTGCACAACATCCCCCTGCTTCCCCGGGGGGCTGGTCCCCTCCCTTTGGGACAGAGCTGGGTGCTGTGGCCGAGCGTGCTTGCCGTGGGGCAACCTGGGGGCAGCCAGATGGCCCCTCTCCTCCTTCCAGCCCAGGGTGGGCAGAGCTGCCCGGCCCCCCCTCACCTCCCCTTGGCTTCCCCCGACAGCCCAGCCCAGAAACTCGTCTTCAACAGAGTGAACGGCAAGAGGCCGCAGGTGCTGCCGCAGCAGGTCTCGGCCACCGAGGAGTGCTACACGCTGGCCCACGAGGAGAACGTCCGCTTCGTCTATGAAGGTGGGGGCAGAGGGTCCCTGGGGGCAGCCACCCCATCCCGGAGCCTGGGGGGAGCTGGAGCCTGGGGGGGGGGTCCCTCCTGAGGCAGCAGCATCGTGTTGGGGACCTGGCAGATCCCCAGCCTGGGGACCTGCCCTCCTTTGCTCCTCTCCCGGGCTGGGGATCCCCATCCCAAACCTTCCTGTCCCCCCCCCCCCCCCCCCCCGGCCCCCCCCCCCCCCCAGCCTGGCAGCAGGTAGAGCAGCAGCTGGACGGCAGCCGGAGCGGGGAGAGCGCCTGCGGCCCCGTGCAGTACGTAGAGAAAACCCCCAACCCCGGACTGAAAAGTAAGTGGGGAGCAGTCGGGACACTCAGGGGTGCATCAGGGTCATGGGTGCAATAAGCTGGTGTGGGCTCAGCCGGGCACCTGCGCGGGGCTGGGATGGGAGGAGGAGGATCCCAGTGCTGGGGTGGGTCTGTCCTGCTGGTGCTGAGGCTGCCTGGGGGGTGCTGGGGGGGCAGCTGGCCCCCGGTACTGTGGTGGGGATGTCCTGCTGTGTCTCACTGGAGGAGCCCAAGCAAGCAGGATGCCCGGCTGATGACTCTTCTGGAAATCATGCCTTCTCCAGCCACCAAGGTGGGTTTGGAGAGGAGCCCCTCAAGTCCCACCGCGGGGACCTGCCTCTCCTGGGGCCACCCAGCACCAAGCCGGAGTGCAGCAAGGACGGGGACAACCTGCTTCTCTGATGGCAGCTGGAGTAAGGGCTGTGAACACAGTTGGGGGGCTCCAGCAGCAGCTGAGAAGGTCCCTGTAAATCCAGCCTGGCTTTTTGGGGACAGGTCAGAGGGGTGGGGGAAATTTGGGGCTGTCATTTTATTTTTTCCTTCCAGTGGCAAATGGTGTGGCTGAGGGGGAGCACCCGGAGCGCTGCTCCCTGCTCCAGCTGCTCTGCCACGCTCTCCCTTCTCTTCCAGACTTTGTTCCCATCGACCTGGAGGAGTGGTGGGCACAGCAATTTCTGGCCAAAATCCAAAACTGCTCATAAAAGGGAAGAAGGGGTTTGGGGTTTTTCTGAAGAGAAACAAAGCTGAGAGCGTCTGGTCAGAACCCGGAACCGGTGGTGTTTTAGAACCACATATTTTTATAAAAGCTGACCGAAACCAAGTGACCCACGTTGCCAGCCCTGTGGGACCGGACCACAGCCATGCCCGGCCGCCTGCCCCCTCCCTGCACCCGGCGTGGAGGAGCAGCCTGTGGCCCCGGCCAGGATTCCTTAAGTGCCAGTTCTCGGACTGCTGCAGCTCCTGCAGCCACCAGCTCCCAGGGACACTGCGGTGCCGTGCTGGGGACGAGGGAGAGCACCCACCCCCGCGTCCGTAGCCACGGGGAGGACAGCGGGGTGCTGTAGCAGGACCGCCAGGCAATAAATCGCTGAAACTGCCAGTGGAGAGGAGCTTGTGGGTCTTGGAAGGAGATGGTGAAGTGGCCCGAATGCGGCATCGTGGCCTGGGCTGGCGTGGAGCGGAGCATCCCTGTGGAGGGGGGATGCTGGTGGCCGAGTCCTGGCCCAGAGGGTACTGTGCTGGTCTGGAGGCAAAGGGCTTGGAGCAGCTCTGTCTTCCTTAGTGCTCCATCTCACCAGCCAGGGGCTGGTGCTGCCTTGTGGGGGCTATGTTTGGGATTAGGATGTGGGGGACACATCTGGGCACCTGCAGGTGTCACGGGCAGGGGGCTGAGCTGTGGTTCGGAGCCAGATTGTGGTATGTAGATGAGTAAAGCTGCAGGAATGAGGGTGCCAGGGCACCACTGCTCTGACAAAAGCCTTCTGTTGAGCCCCAAACTCAAGGTCTTGCTTTCCCATGGCTGTTGGGGGGGGGGAGGCTAAGAGAGGATGGTTGTGGCTGCTGGCAGTGGAGGGGATGGGGAGCCCCCACTTCTGCTCCCAAAGGCACCTGGTACTCAAAAAATCCTTCAGCCGGTGGGCTTTGCTAGGCTGGACTGAGCCCTTCCCAGCTTGGGCTTTGGAGGACCCCCAAAGGCACCTGGGACTCAAACAAAAATCCTTCAGTGGGCTTTGCTAGGCTGGACTGAGCCCTTCCCAGCTTGGGTTTTGGAGGACACCCCATCTTATCCCATGTCCTCCCCCAAGACACTGAGCAGGAGCCTGCCACAGCCCCAGCTCAGCAAGGCTGGAGCTGCTCTCGGCCTCTAAAGGAGACCAGGAAACACCTACTGGAAAAAAAGAAATAAATCTTTTTTATTCCTGCACTGGGAATAACAATCACGCTGCAGCCGGAGGGGAGCAGCAGCCACCTGGGGCCTGCGATGCTTCTCCCACCACACGTGGCCATCTTGTCCCAGGGGGCTAGAGTGGGACCAGCAGCTGCTGTGACCGGGTCAGTACCAAGCCCTGCTGTCCCATGAGCCATCCTGGTCCTGTCTCCTGCCCCTGGGCTGTGGCTGTGACCCCAACAGCACGAGCAGCACCGGGCACAGGCGGCAGCTCCTCCTGCAGCCAGAGGTTGTTACAGCAGCACATGATTGCCAAATGCTGCTTCGTTAAGCCCTTCTTCGTTTAGGCCAGTGGCAGTGGTGGGCTGGGAGGTGCCACCCTTGCCATTAACTCCTCTGCCCGGCATTCACGGCAGGGGACATGCTGAGCAGCTCCTGCTGTAGCCAGAAGGTTGTTACAGCAGCGTGTGACTGCGAAATGCTGCTTCGTTAAGCCCTTCTTCATTTAGGCCAGGATGAGCCTAGCAATGGTGGGCTGGGAGATGCCACCCTTGCCATCAACTCCTCTGCCACGGCATTCACGGCAGGGGCCGTGCTGCCTCTGTGCCACCATGTCTTGCTGGAGGAGGGGGGTGTCACCAGTACCCCCAGGGGGTGTCCCAGCTGTGCTCAGGGTGCTGCCAGCCTGTTGCAATTTGGCATCTTGCTCTCCTGCAACCCCCACTTTCCCTCTGGTCCCTGTCCCAGGTGAAGCCCCGAAGGCTCTGCCACATCCTGCCGTATCGCCCCTTCCAAAATCCAGTTACTGAGGGTCCCAGCATGTTTTGGGTGGCTCCAGGCACCCTCCGTGGGCTGTGTGCTGGCAAGGGGGTGTCCCAGCTGTGCTCAGGGTGCTGCCAGCCTGTTGCAATTTGGCATCTTGCCCTCCTGCAACCCCCACTTTCCTACTGCTCCCCATCCCAGGCAAAGCCCGGGAGGCTCTGCCACATCCTGCCATATCGCCCCTTCCAAAATAAAACCCAGTTACTGAGGGGCCCAGCACATTTTGGGTGGCTCCAGGCACCCTCCCACCCAAAAGTCCCGTCCCCCCCCAGCCCTTCCCATGCACCAGCACCCCTCAGAGGAAAGGGGCTAAGGTTTTTCCCACTGCAGGGTGCCCCCGGCAGCACCTGGCTCTGCCCCCCAACTCCCCAGGGATGCTCCCAGGGAGCAGTCCCTCCCTGCCAGCGGCTCCAAGGTGTTCTAGGGACGCCCTTCTCCTGCCAGCTGCTTACTAATAAAAACACACAGCGCTAAGATTCAGGGAAATTCTTAGTAACATGATGCACCATTGGTTTTGAACAACAACATTAGGCAAAGAGGGGAAAAAAAAAAAACAAACCAAAAATACAACGGAACAGGAAAGAATGAGTCAGTCACAGGAACAAAACAAAAACCCAACCCAAAAATATAACCCAACCCCTGACAATGCAATCACTAGAAGGGAATCAGCACCCCTCGCCATAAATATTAATTAATTCATTTAGTTATGTGCAATTGTGTGTATTACTATAGTGCAAATAGCTCTGCATTGAGGGCGGAGCAGCCGGCCCGAAGGGGACTGCCGCCGGGTGACACAGGGACTAGTTAAGGACAGACGAGAATCAACACGGATTTAAAACATACACTAAAATAAAACAAAATAAAATAAAAAAAGCAACCCAACCACTGGGAAACGCCGAAGAGAAATCCCAGTTGCTGCCTCTGGCTCGGCACAGGCAGTGCTGGTGCCCGATGCACCCTGCCCAGCGGCGTCCCCCGGGGCCGGGCAAGGTCCGGAGGGGAGCGGGACGAGGAGGGGGACACAGGACGGAGGTGTGTGGGGTGTGAGGGGAGAGCACAGCAGGACACGGGCACAGCGAGAGCATCGCTGGCCTTCAGCCCTGGTCCCGTGGCTGCCCAGCACGCTGAGGGGGTGCTGCTGGTTAAACCCTGTCCCCGGTGCAGGAGCGAGTGTCGGGACACCCCGCGGTGTCCCCAGGCACCCCGTGACAGCGCTCACCCCTGGCGCTGGCTCTGCCGCCCGACCCACCACGTGTCGGACCAAGGGGCCAGCTCCGGGCATTTCTCCAGGAACACATCCTCCCAGCTCCTGGGGATGGCCGTGCCCCCGCCACAGGCAGGAGGGGACAGCGTTAGTCCCAAGAGGTTAAAGGCGACAGAGCCTCCCCCCTCGGACAGGACACTGGCCTTCTCCCCCCGCCAGCTGGACACCAAGTGCTTCTAAGGGCAACCACAACCTAATGAACCCAGCGAAGGGTTTGGATCTAAGCTATGTGACAGCCTCCTGTCAAACCACGAGCAAACCACCTCACGAGACACGTCGACATGCGGCAAAGCCCACGGAGCAGCGTCCCCGTGGGTGCGAGCGTTGGGCAGGGAAAAGGGACATGGAGGGGGGACACGGGGTGCGGGTTGGGGACAGCATCCCACTCCCCTTCCGCCGTCCCAATCCCCATCCACACAGGTTTCCCCCTGCTTTTTGGGCTTGTGTTTGTGATTTTTTTTTGCTGTATGGCTGGGGATGAAGGCTGGCGAGCGGCAGTGTCACACGCACACACAGCACGGTGGTGACACACGCACCACGTGTGACCCCGGCGGCAGGAGGCACGCCGCCACCGCTCCCCCCTCCCCCGTGAAAAGTTTCTTACATTTATACATTATTTAAGACACGCTGATATATAAATTACTGTCTCTATATATACTATGTATAGGCAGCAGGGCCAGTCCGTGACGAAGGGCACCACTGGGGCTTCTGCTCATTTCCCTCTGTCCTCTGTGTAGTGCTGGAAGCGGGTGAAGCTCATGAAGACCTGCTCCAGGGAGATCTGGCTCACCGAGTAGTCCTCCAGGCGGAACTTCTCTTTGGCTTTCTCCAAGGCCCCAAAGACCTGCAAGGGATGGCACAGCAGTGACCGCAGGGGACAGCAGGGCAGTGACCGCAGGGGACACATGTTACGGACTGCAGGGGACAGGATGGCAGTGACTGCAGGAGACAGCAAGGCAGGGACTGCAGGGACTGCAGGGGACACACGGTAGGGACTGCAGGGGACAGCAGGGTAGTGACCGCAGGGCACACAGCAGTGACTGCAGGGGACACATGGCAGGGATTGCAGGGGACAGTATGGCAGGGACTGCAGGGGACACATGGCAGTGACTGCAGGGGACACACGGCAGTGACCACAGGGCACACAGCAGTGACTGCAGGGGACACACGGCAGGGATTGCAGGGGACAGTATGGCAGGGACTGCAGGGGACACATGGCAGTGACTGCAGGGGACACACGGCAGGGACTGCAGGGGACACACAGCAGGGACTGCAGGGGACACACGGCAGGGACTGCAGGGGACAGCATGGCAGGGACAGCAGGGGACGGCATGGCAGTGACTGCAGGGGACAGCATGGCAGGGACTGCAGGGGACACACAGTAGGGACTGCAGGGGACACACGGCAGGGACTGCAGGGGACACACGGCAGCGACTGCAGGGGACAGCATGGCAGGGACAGCAGGGGACGGCATGGCAGTGACTGCAGGGGACAGCATGGCAGGGACTGCAGGGGACACAGCAGGGACAGCAGGGGGCACATGGCATGGACTGCAGGGGACACAGCAGTGACTGCAGGGGACAGCATGGCATGGACTGCAGGGGACACATGGCATGGACTGCAGGGGACACAGCAGGGACAGCAGGGGGCACATGGCATGGACTGCAGGGGACACAGCAGTGACTGCAGGGGACAGCATGGCATGGACTGCAGGGGACACATGGCAGGGACAGCAGGGGACAGCAGGGCAGGGACTGGAGGGGACACATGGCAGGGACTGGAGGGTACAGCAAGGTAGTGACCACAGGGGACACACGGTAGGGACTGCAGGGGACACATGGCAGTGACTGCAGGGGACACAGCAGTGACTGCAGGGGACAGCATGGCAGAAACTGCAGGGGACAGCAGGGCAGTGGCTGCAGGGGACACATGGCAGGGAGTGCAGGGGACAGCAGGGCACCACGGCTGCCACTGACAGAGCAGGGGGAGATTTTCCCCCCGGGGGCAGCGAAACTGCCCCGGCAGGAGGGTGGTGGGAAGGCAGGAGGTGCATTATTTAGCAGAGTGCCTGAGCCCATTCAAAAATGTATGGTTTATATATATTTTTTACATATCTATATGATACATGTA